GATGACCATAACCACATTTCTTTAAAGAGATGACAGAAGAGAAAAATGAGATAGTACATGTAGTATCTTGATGATAAAATAAATGTAAACAACAATTTTTGGAGTGATGGAGGATTTTTATTTTTTATTTTGTCTACAAATAAAGAAATTTTTATTCAAAGTGTTTAAGGGATACCTAACCCATTTACACTAGAGTCAACCCATTTACATATGAGTCAACACATAGCTCCATATCACAATTAATGCATTACTTTTGAAAGTCCCCACCATATATAGGATGCAGGTCATACCTTCCATGAATTTACAAAACCAAACAAGAGAAGGTTTGGGTGATAAAAGTTGGGACATAGGTCTATTTGTTTCTGTACTTGTATATTTTTTCTAAGTATGATCAAGAGAACAAGTTGATAAGTTTATCCATTATTGTAGATTTTTGTTGGATTCTTTACCAATTGCAAATCGCTTTACTAGAGATTGGATATTGGGTTATCAAGATTATAAATATGTTTAAAGGCAAATAATTATGTATTCTACATAAAAAGATGGCAAAAGAGAAAATGGGACTACAAACGCTATGTCTTGGGTATAAAAAAAAATGTGTACAACAATTTTTGGTTGAAGAAAGTTTGGATATTGACATATGTAACTATGAAAAATTAAGAAATATATTCTAATAAAAAATGAAACAATACACATCTTCTCAAAAATAAAAATAATGTAAACAACTTAGTTTTGGGTGATGAAAGTTAGGATATTAGTATGTTTGTTGCTATGCTTGTAGTTGTTTTCATTCTAGGGATGATCAAGAGACTTGATTTGGTTGATTATTGTTAAAGGAAGATAGCAACACTATATTGATTATCAATGGAATTGGGATTGAAAGCAATTTTTGTTAGATTCTAAACCATTTTTAAATTACCCTAACTATCAAAAGTTTAAATTGTACAATGAAATGAAAAGTAAGCTTAAAAACAAACAATTATGTGTCTTACTTAGAAAGATGAAGAAAAAAAAAAAAAGAGACAATACATACAACATCTTGAAGATTAAATAATGTAAATAATAATTTTTTGACTGATGAAAGTTTTTTTTTTTTCAAGTCTATAAATAAAAAAAAATTATTTAAATGATATAAGAAATACCCAATCCATTTACATTTGAGTCAACCCATCTAGATAAGAGTCAACACATAACTCCATCTCACAATGCGTTGCTATTAAGAGTCAGCATAACTCCATGGATCATAGAAGTCATGCTTGAATTAATTCAAAGAGGGTTTGAGTCCTTGTCAATGTCCCAATCATGCCACCAATAGTTGAAGGAAGCCACCAATAGTTGAAGGAAGTGTTGTAACCAATTCAAGCCAAGCTAGCCCCACCATGATGTTGTTGCCCTCTTCAAGTATAATAGTGAAGAGATTTAAACATCTTGATTGAATCAACACTCAAAGAAAAATCATTGAGGACATTTAAACAATTTTACATAAAATTTTAATATTTTAAATTTATTAGAACGTCTTAATTTCTATTTTTCTCTTTCCTTTATTTTATTTGAGGGAAATGAAAAACCCTCCCCTTTGTTCTTTTTTTTTTTGGTTATCAACACCCCCCTTGTTTAGTTAGATCAAATGTAAAAGACGTTAAAGTTAAGAAAATAATCAAAAGATATTTTTTTTTTACAAAATTTTCATATAACCTTACATATTATTTAATAAATGATTTTTTTTTATTTTGTTAAAATACATAATATTATATATATCAACTCACTTAATTAATGACATATACTAATTGTATAAAAGAATTATATAAAAAAAATTATCTCCATCCCACTACCTTAAAATAGAGTAAGGGAAAACCCATCCCCTTCAATTTTTTGTTATTCAAGTAGATAAATTATTTATTGAGATCAAATGCATTCAAATAACAGGCACAATCTAAGAGCAAACTTTTCTTTGGTTTAATAGAAACTAAAATTCCTGGACTTAAAAGGAAATTGGCAGGTATCGACCCAAAAACAATTTTAGTGGTACCTCAAATCCCTATACATGAGAGAAATAGGCAAAGCATGGTCCTCCACACCCACACCTTCTGTGACGGCCAAAAATGAAATAGTCCTTCACCTGTGTCAACTCTGTTATCATTAGGAGTAACCCGACGTAAACGGTGCTCCACCATCCGTCCAAGTCGTTCCCTTTTTTTGGGCAGACCGTCATAGTCATACGTTACACTTCAAAAACTCAGCTTTAATGGCACCCAATAATATTCCATTAATCGCCGGTCTTTCCACTAATCATTCAATTAATCCCCCGAACCCACGCTGGCCCCTATAAAAGGGGGCCACCAAGCAATCAACTACTGATGACCCTTCCCATCTACTTCTAGCACCTTAAAACATGGAAACTCAAACAGGTAATTCCTCTTTCCTTCCATACATCGATATACATATTACTCAAGTATTTTCTTTTCTTTCTTTTTTTTTTAGCCCAACACCAGCTATTTAAGTTATGTCATAGTAGACACGGAGAATTTTGTCCAGAAATTAACACAGTACCTTTTTTTTTTTTTTTGCAGTTCACAGGATCTTCAGAGGCGGTGTGACGTCCTTGGTGTTGGTGGCATTCATGGCCACAATTTCAGTTGCTTCACTGGACAGTCAGACATACATTGTTCACATGGATGAGTCCAAGACGAAAACTTCCAATCCTTCTGGAGCTAATTCCAAAGAAATGTTTGAAGAAATGCTTGATTCAATCTCTCAACTGTCCACTGATTCTGAAGCAACACCACCTCCTCGCCTACTTTATGCATATGACACTGCAATCTTTGGTTTTGCTGCCAAGCTTTCCCCTATGCACCTAGAATCAATAAGAAACATGGAAGCTTTTATCGCTGCCATTCCCGACAGATCAATGCGCCTCCATACCACACATACTTACCAATTTCTTGGCCTAGAACAGGGTATAGGACTCTGGCATGCTTCAAATCTGGAGTCCGATGTGATAATTGGCGTCATAGATACCGGTATCTGGCCTGAACATCCCAGTTTTCATGACTATGGTTTTGGGCCAGTACCAACTAAATGGAAAGGCGCTTGTGAGAGCGGTACAAACTTCTCCCCATTAAACTGCAACCGCAAGCTTATTGGTGCCAGATACTTCTTCAAAGGATACGAGGCCAACAATGGCAAAGTCAATGAAACCGCAAATTTTAAGTCCCCCAGAGCAACAAATGGTCATGGAACTCACTGCGCATCAACCGCTGGCGGCAATCTTGTACATAACGCAAGCTTTTATGGGCTAGCCAGAGGTGTGGCGGCCGGAATGAGGTACACATCAAGAATCGCGGTATATAAAGTTTGTTGGGAAGGACCTCTCGATTGCTCTGATTCTGATATTATGGCCGCCATTGATCAAGCAATTAAAGATGGAGTGGACGTAGTGTCCATTTCATTAGGATCCGTAGAAGGAGCCGCCCGGTATTTTGAGGATTCCACTGCTCAAGCAGCATTCGCTGGAATCCAACGAGGGATCTTTTTTTCACTTTCGGCCGGAAATGAAGGCCCGCGTACTGTTGGCAACACTGCACCATGGCTCATGACGGTGGCTGCAAGCTACACTGATAGGAGCTTCCCCACAATAGTCAAGCTTGGAAATGGACAAATTTTTGAAGGTATATCTTTGTACTCTGGTAAATCATTAAAAGAATTGCCAATTGTGTATGGACCAACTGCAGGGAAAAAATTTGCTCAGTATTGTGCTCCGGGGACACTCAGCCCAAAGCTTGTAAAAGGAAAGGTGGTTGTTTGTGAACAAATAGGAGGATTTGACACATATCAACAAGCAGAGTATGTGAAGTTGGTAGGAGGAGCTGGCACGATCATCTTTCCTGATAAAGGTGAAATCCTTACTACTTATCCTTCCATGTTTCCAGCAGCTTCCGTGGGAGACTTGGCAGGAAACGCCATATTAAGTTATTTGAAATCTACAAAATCACCTACAGCTTCACTAACTTTCAAAGGAACCACTTATGGAAAGCGTGCACCAATGATGGCTGCGTTTTCATCGAGAGGGCCAAA